CTGCAATACAGTCAGTCCTGCCTTTATTTTCCATCCTCGTGGCTCTTTTGTTGAACTAAAACCTGTAAAATAACACAAAAAGAGCTGAGGAACAAACACCAGCCATCAGTCCTCCTCACCCCCCAGCAGTCTCAGAGAACAAACAAAGTGAGGAGAGGAAATCAGAGCCTTTCATGAGGCTGACTGATGAGGTTTAAAGAGCAGTTCACTGTTAGCTAAACCATCCCTCACATCTCCTCCATCATTCCTCAAAGTGCAAGGAGCAGAACACAAAGCCAAGCCTGGAGAACAGGTAGGCAGCCTCTGCAGGAGACACCCACTCAATCACACAGTGTTATTTCATGGGTTTTTGAATCCAAAACACCTGCCGGTACCATGATTAAAACTGGAGGGACGTCGGGGTAATGCACCCCTGCCTTATCTCAGAATTTAAAGACAGTAATCCAGATGTGCACTAAAATTAAACAGGCGATTTGCTGATGCTCCATAAGGTTTCATCATAGTCGGCCTGGTAGTTTTTGCGTAATCTTGACAGACAGACAAACAAACTGTACAATTTAATTAATTAATTTAATTCTATTTTGATGCTTGGAACTAGATTGAATTCAGCAATCAGGAGAGCAGGTTAATTGTCAATTTCTAAACTTGCAAAAACAGGTAATTGCATGAAATTTCACAGTTTCAGGTTTTCTAAGAATACAATACAAACAAATCAATAATGAAAGCTGAAAACGCCCACAGAAACAGCAGATGAGGTAATGTCAAATAATATGAGCCTGATGTCTCATAAAGCTGCCGGCAAAACCCATCGGTGATGAAACCTTCCTGAGGACACTACAGGCTAATGGGGGCAATTTGTGTAACCTTTTCGCCAACACTACCTCACTGTCCTCCGAGGATTAACTGGGCAAACTGACGGAGGCAACAGGAAACGTGAAGTTGCTGTAAATCAATGGCTCTTAAACACCACAGACACTTCTCCAGGTCCATCAATGAAGCCTCGAGGGTGCCCACGAACACTCTTCAAATACATTGAACTCGGTGTCACGCTTTAGCGAGTATTCCAAGGACAACAGAACGGGAAAATAGGTGAGAAATGATGTGCAATGACAGGAATAAAAGCGCCAGAACAGGGTTATACATGAAAAACTTACCTAAATCTAAACATTTAAGCAGAATACTGTGAACACGAGGGATGACATGAACTACTACGGCCTAATCCGCTGCATTTACAGAGAACCAACCTGGAAAAAAAACTAGTCAGACAACCCTGGTCATCTTTAAAAAAAAAAATTGTAGCTGTTAATGAGACGTTTACTTCTTCAGTAGCAATACATTTGACAGAGCCTTCAGGAAGCTGCTGATTTTGTGCCACAGCCAATCTAAAGACCATCTAACAGATTTACACTGGGTGCTTCAGGAGGCCTTAATAATAATCATCTAGTTATTTCAGCAATGTTACAGGTTCTGGTGGCAAACAGCGGAGGGGAAAGAGACTTTTTCCCATTTCATTACAACAGGCAGCAGAGATTGATGAACCACGTCTCTTTGAAAATAATAACACCTAAAACTGCCAGAAATCACTGCTCCACTTTGCTGGAACTTACAGTCACATGAACAGGGAGGCAGAGGTCTGGTTCAGTTTTATGTGATGTAAGTGCAAATTAAATCTGGTTTAATGTACATGTGGTTTATTAAGGCAGGTTTATTAAATATATCTTTTTGTTTATACTCTTTAAATAATTAACACTTCCCTTTATGCATCACATGACAGAAAAACAAACAGAGTGCAGTCATGGTGAGCTGACACAGGTCATTAATCATGTTTGTAAGGTAAATAAGGCATGTTTTGGACTTTTTCTCCTTACAAGCTTTGAAAAGCTGACTGACAAAGAATAACTGAGCCGGAATAAGGAGTTTTTATCTGGAAGCAGAAGGTGGGTTACCGTCTGAGCGAGGAGGGCCAGGACATGCGGGGCTTCTTCAGCCCGGGTCGCAGCTTCTCCAGGGTCCGGTTGCGGCACAGGTAGCGCTCGGTGTCCGAGTTGAAGCGCTGTTTGATCCGTATGTGGGTCCGGGGCTGCCGCCACAGATGTTTGGGCGGCTTGGCGAGCCCTGCTCCCTCTCTGCTGAGCGTGGCGCACTCCATATTCTGCCTTAGTTGATTACTTCTTTTGTCTAAATCGAGTTTTAAACTGAAATAAGTCGAAACAAAGTGCGGAAAAGGCGCGGAGAGCGTGCTGGGTGTGATTGTAGAAGCAGGAAACCAGGCGCTTCGGAGCGTTTAACGCACGGAGCGCAGCATGATGGTGCGCTGCTGTCCAGAGCCGGAGTGCTGAAACCACTGCGATCCTCTCAGAGAATATCAACTCTCTCTCTCTCTCTCTCTCTCCTCCCTCCTCTCTCCTCCCTGCTCTGTTTATCTCTGCCTCAGTTCATCTCTCGGTGCTCTCTCCTCTCTCCATCCTCACCTCCCGCTCCTCCAGCCTCCTCCTGCGGTCTCCATCTGTTTCTCTGTCTGTCTCCGTCTTCGCTGTCAACCTGCCAATCATCAGCATTACACAACACTGTACTGTCTTTACGGTGCTTACTCCTGCAGGGCAACACTGCCTATTAACTTACTATTTGTTTTTGATCATCTATCTTTTATGTCATTTATTCAGCTCAAAATGAAAAACAGTCACTGCTTCCAATCTCTCACCTGGAGGGAGTTCATTCTCGTTTTTCATATTGACACTTTCCCACAGCAGATTGTTTGACTGTCAAAGCAGGAAAAGCAAAAGTGACACGTTTCTCTCCTTCTCAAAAATCCCATCTGTGTATCAAAGTTATATATTTTAACATTTATTTCAATGAAAATATTCCGTTCTGCCCTGAAACGGTTTAGATTTCACTCTACATATGGGATGTGTGGATCAATAACGTCAACACTTGTTTCTCCACTCATCCTGCTGCAGCTCCAGCACACCAGCTCACCTACAACTTTGCTCAAATGCTGCTCTCCTAAAGAATTACTGTCAAACTGCAGCCACATTCTTCCAGCAGTGTACCAGTTTACAAAATTTGATGAAATACTGTGAAATCTGATGACCATTTTCAGCGGGTTACCGTAAAAACTAGCGGAGTAAATAAAACTAAAAAACACCCGCACAACAATTCATGAAGTTCTGTTTAGAGTAGGGACTTGATTAAGGCAGCAAAAATGCCGACTTTACTCTTATGCTTGAGGTTTTTACATTTTTCTTCTCTTTTTTTCTGCACATTAAGTTAAATATTTTTCCTTAGTTTCTATTTTTTTTTTTTTTTTTTTTTATAATTGGATTACAATTGGTCACATGCTTCTGCCTGTGAATAATTGTCCTTTATTGTTTTATGTATTTTAGTTTAATTTTGTTGTACTATCTGCATTTTTGAACATTAAAAGATGGCAGATTTTAATTCTAAATCATAAAGATTAAAGGCACATTAGTATTTATGGTATAAATGAAAAGAAATGCAAAGAAATGTTGTAATTTACAGGCAATTACACCTAAAGGTAATCTTGATTTACAGTGCCAGCCAACACCATATAAATGCAGAATACTATTAGAAAGTCTAGTTGCAGTAAATCTCATATTCTACTAAACAGTGATCAACATTTCTGTCATGTCCAGAGTAAAAACGATGTTGTAGAAGTTAGTAACAGATCCCTTCATGTTGGGTTGTTTTAAGAAAGCGATGGCAAACTTTAGAACAAAAACTGGGTTATGTTTGGTGTTTATTCATTTTGCTTTGATTCTGGTACTATTCGTTCATCACTGAGAACAGTTTAATGTCCAGGGCTGCCTTCTTCAACAGGCTGTGGTGAATTTTATACAAATCTCTCATCGCTTGATAGAAGGTTTGGCTGAATGCCACAAATGTAAATATATTCAGCTCTAGTCGCAGGCTTGTCCAAATTACTGGATGTCACCAAACACACTTGTGTTTATCATCTTGGAGGGAAAATATGAGCTGTATCATCAGCAAACAAGCTGTTTATTCAAAATAAGTTTTTTTTTTTTGCCTGGAACAAAGCTCAGCATTATGTTACAGAGGTCACCCCTCTGTCATTAGTGTCCGGACATGTTTCTCGGTGTTCAAGCATGAGAAGGGTTAAATTTCATGTCTAGTGTGAGAGCAGATGTAGGTGCTAAAGAGACAGGAAGATGGGCAAACGCACATGGCTGTGACCTTTCAGTGACAGCCTTCTGCCTGCTGTTGCAATTGCCAGGCATTTTTTTTAAAAATGGAAGACGGCTTTCATTATCGCCTGAAACAACCGAACACATTCTGCCTTCCTTTGTGTGTCTGCCAGGTTTCTGCTTTCACTATCACTCAGAGAGCTTGAGTTGTTCAAACAGAAACCTGCTGTTTCCTCAGTGTCCACCTGAACAGATGCAAACACCAGAATGAGCTGATGAGCCGAGGGGATTCTGCATGTTGACCTCAGATAGATAGATAGATGGATAGATGGATGGATGGATGGATGGATGGATGGATGGATAGATAGATGGATAGATGGATAGATGGATAGATGGATAGATGGATAGATGGATAGATAGATAGATAGATAGATAGATAGATAGATAGATAGATGCTCCACCATACTGATTGATCAGCTCGATATGATGATCAAGGCCACCAGATGGTCCAAATCCCAACAACAGCCTTCCACAGACATCAACAAAATAAAGACATGCTGCATGAACTTCTCCAAGATGAACATTAGAACAGAAAATTCTTTAAAGATGAACTCCTCCTTCAGAATAAAACTGAGCTATAATGGGCTGCCTTTTAATTCATGCTGTATGACAAAAGAATAAGGACCAAAAGCTGAATGCCGTATGTATATCTACCTGCACGATGAAGAAACCAGATGCAAAAACACAGCAACATAGAAAGAGCAGCTTGTTTTCAAGACCATTGAAAGAAAGAAAAACTGAAGCAAACAAAGACAGGCGAGTGTGAGTGTCACTGACCGGTGCTCATCTGTGCTGGCTAACGCTCGGCTGTACAGAACCTCCAGTCGGTCCAGAGGCAGGCCTTGCGTCGCAGACGGCCGCCGGTTGTCAAGTGGGTGATTCTGACAGGAGTGTCGTCTCCACAGCGGAGGCAACATCAGCTGGCCGGAGAAACGCCTCCGTACCGCCATGTTGACCGCCGGCAGGGACTCCCGACGACCCTGCACCATGAGGAAGAGGAAGATGAGTAAGACTGGTGTCAAAGTCAGCAGGACATTAGACATCTCAAATTATTCATTTGTTGGAACGCAGAAGTCAGGCGGAGGGGAATAAAACACTGGAAACAAGCTGATACAGAACCTACACTCGTTTAACAGTTCATTAGCTTACAGTGACAAAAACAAATGCAGTCCTGAAAGCCAGTACAAAAGCTGAATCTGTTTCAGAGAGGTGTTCATTAACTTTGTGGTCAAAGGAGGTTGCAGTTTGTTTGTAGTGCTGTTTATTGGCATTGCATTATATGGATAAATTGTGGCTAATGAAGTGCATCAGAAACACATCCCAGTATGATGCTGTTTAATTCAAAGGCTTTTAAAACCATTCTCTAGGGATGGCAATGTTGCTGTTGGTTGGTCCATTAACTTAGTCCAGACAGAAATCAACAAGCACATGGATTGAAATTTGTTCAGATTTCCTTGATTACCAAACAAACAAATCCCACCGACTTTGGTGATTCCCTGATTTCAATGAAAGCATCCCCATGAGGCTGATATGTACGTATGACAATGTCATGCCAAATGCCAAAAGTCTCCTTTAATCCCATTTTAGGATCGTAAAATATGGATCCTTCATCTTTGTTCATACATCTCTTCTCACATGATGTCTTTTCCTGCACAGAACCAAGACTTTGTACTGACGAACCTGAGCCCTTGGTTTAATAAATACATGTGTTCTGAAATGACACACATGCCTATTTGCTCTTTTGGTTATATCTCATGTATGATCATTTTCAATAAAATCTGATCATTTTAAGCCTCTGGGACAGTACTTGAATATTTTCCAGCTGCCTCTGATTGAACTGTATCAGCAACTACTGGATGGATGGTAAAGAGTCATAATCAAGCCAAACCTTAATTTGTTAGATACTTGAATGACATTCTCATCAAACTCTGCTGCACTATGTGTACATGTAGTATGCTGGCATTAGCACCTGGGCCAAAGCACCCACAGAGCCAATAAAAGCATTGCTGCAGACTCTTCGTCCTGTTTGCTCCTTCACTACTTCACCACACACACAATTCATTTGAATTGTACATTTTAAACCATCTGTGAGTCATAGATGGTTTCATAAGGCTGGACAATGTATTCCATCAAATATATGAAGGAAATAATTGCACAAATTACTCAAAGATCTATTATTAAAATATTCGAGATCAGACTTTTAATGTCCCACAGAAATTCTGAAATATCATCTCATTAGTTACGATTACCACATGTTTGCAAACTATCACTGCTGATGTGTGCATATATTATGCATATATACTGTATGTGTATAACAGTCGTAATAAAAATCCTAAGCGTGTAAAAATGCTGAATTTATTTCACTGTGCAATTAGAAATAGCTCAATAAAAGAACTCAGTGACTCAATAATGAAGCCACATATATTAGTCCCGGGACATGTGGCATCTGCCCGATGCGCCCTCAGGGTACTGCAGTCGCTCCACAAACACTTTTCACATTTGACACTAAGAACGTAGTTTGTTTGTCTTCTTCCCTGAGCAATAAATTGCCTTTTTGGCACGTCCTTCCTGCAAACCCATTTAATATCTATCGATTCAGAGCAAAGTGAGAAGACAACAGGCAGACAGACAACAGCTTTGTCTGGCGGACAAACTTCAGTATTTGTGTGAGTGGGTGTCTTTGTGTAAATGGTACATAATCAAGACCGACTTCTCCCTATTAAACGGGTCAAATGAGATTGATGCAGCCAAGAAAACACGTACACCCCAAAAATCCATGTTCATTTTGACAGCTCAGAGTCTCTGCTTGCATGTGATTTATGCTTCAGCAGTGTTCCAGCAGTTGAGTTCAGTGAGAGCTGATGGATATCGATCTGCCGTCCGACGAGGCTCCTTTCCCTGATTGGTGCTGCCAAGCATCAAAAACCAAGCATGACTGTCAGACCTGCTGTCCACCTTCAGGCTACAAAACACACCCATCATCTCAGACAAACCTTGCTTCTACTGATTTGGCATTGTTGATATGTTTCTTCAGATCTATATCTCTGTTTTCTTCCAGTCAACACAAACACACAGCTTTAACCTTTCAACTGAGGTGACATGACCAATGCATCTAGAAGTCGAGTTATGCTTGAAACCTACTTTGTATGAGATTTCTGACCCTGTTGGACGTGCCATTCATCCCTGACTTGGGGATAATGGAAAGCATTCATAGTGTTGACAGCAGATTTAAGAGGAGTTCAGGCCTTGGCTCCTTTCTTACTTCCACATAGCCCTCCAATCAGTGAGCATAGATGTCAATTTTCTTTAAAGTTACACAATGTGTTGGACAAAGTCACTTCAATCCGACGTTGTAGAGGTGCGGTGGGTTCTGAAGCTGTCATAGCGTTCTGACAAGTCCCTTTGATGAAACACCCTGGCAGTCTATGTTCTGACTGCAGACCTATGCTGCATCTAAAACGTGGTTTCTTTCAGAACAGTGATGATTCTACAAATCTAAATGTCCAAATCTATAATCGCAGCATAATTTGTACTAAATTTGAGCTAATTTGTTGAATGAGCCAGTAAGAGGACTTTGAGTTGTGATTTTTTTGAATAGGATTTCTCTGTAAATGAAAAATTAAACCAATGCTTAAGTGTCAAAAACTGCCGTTTCTCAAATGTCGGTGAAGCTGGCTCCAAAAGAGAGTCAATCCCCATAGACCCTCATGTTAAAATTCCCAACTTTTCTGCAGAAGTAAATATATTTACAGACTGGTACAAAAAAACTGTTTTGGTTTAAATAGCATATTTCCCCATTTGTGACCACCACATGGGTGTGGATTTGACTATAACTCACCCATTTAAATTGTATTGAGGCCACAAATCATGCACAATTATTAAGCGACAGGTGGGTGTCATCACAAGATATTCCCACTCAGGATCCATGTCTTTGCTCATTTTTGATTAGCCAGGAGTTGACAGTCGGGTACTGTTAAGATGGGGATGGCAAGAAACACAAACTTAGCTTCAAAACAGCTGGTCAGGAAACTTATTGGTAATGTCACGAAGGGTTTGTCCATCTTTCTACAGCCTGTGGTTTCTCCCTGACCCCTATTGATCATGTTTTGTGTGTGTCACAGAGCTGCAGCCCCGTGAGCGGACCGACTCTGCGGTGAGATAACATCGTTTCTGCTCACAGCTCAGATGTGCCTGGATTGAACAAACAATCTTTGATAAAAGCATTTTAAATATGAATAT